GTGAAATGTGACTCTTGTGCGCCTCAAAACCCTCCTTGTGCGTGAAAATAAAAAACACTCTTTCCGGTTCTACCTGTCACATTAAAACCCTCGCTGGCTTCCCGCCTTTTATACACACTTCGACCGGCAGGGATGCTTTTATTCTTTTAATAAATCCCCTCGCATCCGGACGTGTCCACGCTAAACCTCGGCAGCTTGACGCCAGCGACCGCGTTTATCACCGCGACGGAGGAGACCGAGAGCAACAAACTTTGTCCGGTTGGCACAGAATGGAGAGGAGCTGACGCACTGCCATTTACCGGACCGTTAACTTCCCTCCTCACGCACAGACTCCGCGCTTCACCGGGAACATACAACTGAAAGATAGTTTCGTAACAGCTTCACCACTGAAGAGCTGAACATTTCCCCTCAATATTTTCCTCCCCTTGTTCCTCTTTTTCTTCTTTTCGGACACGTTGAGCGCGTTATTACGCACGATGCGCAAAGAGATGGCTTTTCTGCGGGGACACAAAACGGGAGTACAACAAGTTTTTTATGCATATCTGTCCATTTCACTGGCTTATTCTTACAATATAGACTTAGAACATCCTTTAGTGTTTCGAGGACCAAATTCTAGTTTTTTTGGCTACTCGGTGCTGGAGCATTATCACGACAACACACGCTGGTGAGTCCCACGTTTTACTGGAAATGCTGTAATGCATCGCTCTGTGTACTTGTGCAGCCCAGTGCATATAAACCACCAATCCCGCTATTCTAATGAAGCACCTTTTTGTGTTTTGTACCATCATTTCTGCAGGGTAATAGTTGGGGCTCCGAGGGCAAACTCAACGTACAGCAGCTCTGCGCATTCCCCGGGAGCCGTGTACAAGTGCCGGCTTCACAGCAACCCCGAGCGCCGCTGCACGGAGATGGACCTGGGACGAGGTCAGTCGCTCCACACACGCGAGACCAAACCGCAGAAACGTTCCCGATCCGAGCGTTGAGCTTTCCAGCATCTTTCCCTCTTCCTCTTTTTTTTTCTTCTTTCTAAACTCCCCCAAGCATCTGTTTTGTTTTACCAGAATAATGCAGCCTTATGCTGCTCTTCACAGTGTGACATGTGTTCCGTCACTTCCGAACCTGCTTCATCGAGACACCCAAAAGAAAAGAGGGCTCTGTGCGCCGAGGTCCATAGATGTTTCTGATAAATACGATTTACGCTTTTGCTAATATTTTTCAAGCATGGGAGCCAAAAAGTTGAGCTCCAAACCCCCTCCTCACCACCAGCCCCCGGCCTCGGCTCTATTCTTGTGGTCAAGGAAGCAGGCTTCGCTTTAATATTCACTCCGTGCTCAGTTCGCGTGTCACCAGAAAAAGAGAACGTGCGTTACACAGTGAGCGTGTGCAGTTTGAAGCAACGCGCTCATGGACCAGAGGAGCTGAACTCTGACAGGCCAACACACAACACACTGCACAACGCACACTGCACAACCCACAACGCACACTGCACAACCCACAACGCACACTGCACAACCCACAACGCACACTGCACAACACTCAACGCACACTGCACAACACTCAACGCACACTGCACAACACTCAACGCACACTGCACGCCTAACAGCTGCATGCCATTGTGCTGAACCGGTTGTCTGCAGAAAGAAAGAGAACACACTTAGGGAAGGAACAGTCTTCTTTTATAAAGAGTGGGACCGTTAAAAATGTGTCACAGAATTTTCTAACCATGCACATTTGGGTGAAATTGCCTTAAAGTATGTACAAGCTCCAAAGGGTTTAAAACGGTGTAAACGTCCCACACACATTAAGCAGAAATTAAGAGTGAAGCACACTGAAATCAAAGAGCTGAAAGTCACTTGCTGCGAGATATCCTCCGTCCTGAAGGCTCCACGCCTGCACAAACCGCTCTCATTGTCCTTCAGGAAACAAGCAGAGAGAGTCGTGTGGGAAGACGTGCCAGGGAGACCGGGACGACGAGTGGATGGGCGTCAGCCTGGCCCGCCAGGACAGCGCCAACGGCAAAATCGTGGTAAGCATCTCTGAAATGTTTCATGTGAGCGACGTAGAAAGGGACCCCATAAGACCAACAGATTGTTAATGTCTCACCATGAACCACACTGTTGAGCCACAGCTGCACTTAATACTACAACGCTCCTTAAATGAGAAATAACTTGCTACAATTCAAGATTACAACGTATTTCTTTTGCATAGTCCAAGCTGGAGTAACAGCTGGAAACGGCTGAGTGGTTACATAACACTGTGAGGCGTCCCGCCTCGTGTTCGGAGCTGGAGGAGTTGACTGGGACTGGGTTTGTCAAAAGTGAAATGAGGGATTTAGACAAACCAGAAGACAAACTAGCGGTGCTAATCCCACAGGTGCTTGGCTGCGTATTTGCTCAGAGATCACAGAGCAGCTGGCACAGTTTGTTTAGGCTTCGGCCCCTCTGCGGTGGTCCCGTTCAAGGGCAACCTTTCATTAAACGTCAAGCTCAGCCCCCTGCAGTGGTCGGCGAGGGGACGGGCGGCCTTCCTGGACGTTTTCAAGGGGATCGATGGGTCGGGCAGCTCTAGTCACACTCATGACAGGTGTGACAGTCGAAACAAGTCCCGATGTTAAAGCCCCGTAGAGAGACTTCATATAACTCTTTGCCCTTTTAAACCTTTATAAATTGCAATATGTTTGTCTTGAGTCCATTCTTTTTATACCTTTAGTGGAATGTACTGGCATGATTTTAAAAACATGACCCAAAACTTGAAGCATTCTTGGAGTTGTTGGTCTTTGGACTTTTACATAGAGTAATGAGATGCGCGTTGCTGCACACTCAACGGCCGTCCAGACAGGAATATGATAAAAGAAACTGGACTTTCTGCCCCTCGCTGCCTCGCTTTTTATTTAGTTTGTTTTCTATAAAGCTCGTCTGAATGGACTCGCGTTTTCATTGCAACAGGAGGGAAATGGCTTCTTGGCAGATGTGCACAGTGGTGAGTTCATCTGGGCTTTTGCTGAAGGCCTTGTTTGTGACCAGCGAGCCCGTTAACTGAACAGGAACAGGACAATGGCTCAGACTCCAACCATAAAAGCTTAAAACAGTCAGTGCAAGAGCTCTTTTTACTGTGTTGATATCAGCTGATTGCTGTTGTTGTCATCTGACGCTCAGTGTCTGCAGAGCTCTTCTATTCATTTAGACTGGCTTGTGCGTGTCTGTGTGTGCGCGCGTGTGCGCGTGCACAGCGCGAGGGGAAATGAAGGGAACTTTGTCTGCACAGAGGCGTCCCCAGAGCCACAGGAGCTCCACCACCGTCCCCTTCAGGGGCACTACATTAATACCACATTTACTCATTTATGAGGCCTGAATTGTGCCAGAAGTTGAAATCCAGTCTATATTATTGTGTTTGCTTATCGAACTGCGGAATGTTTCATTTTTAAATACACGGCGGCCAAATATTGTTTTGAGAATTACTCACTGTCAGTTGCAGAAATGTGCCCCCACGTTTCAGCAGCAGCATAATAGAGTGGGAGTTTGTTTTATGTCTTGATCCGCCGTCTGAACTTTCGGCTTCGCTAGCTGCCTGCGGGACCCCTGGGGAGCTGTTTTTGAAACCAAAACTGGAGAGGATTTTTCTTGCTGCGTGTTAAACGGTGCTGAGGAAACACAGATGAGACATTCGCACCGCAGACCGCGGCTGTGTGACTTGTGGATGCGTTTTACTCACCCTTCTTATTGACTGATCATTCGACAGCCGAGCGACACGCCGGTCCGGCGTGCTGCGGTTACAGCGTGAACGTGTGTCTGAACGTGTTCTCCCCTTCTCTCCCGCAGGCCTGTGCTCACCGATGGAAAAACGTCTACTACGACTCGGAGCACATCCTCCCACATGGGTACTGCTCCATCATTCCCTCCACTCTGCAGGGCAGGGCCAAGCCTCTCATCCCTTGCTACGAAGGTACGGCAGGGGTGTAACTGGTGTCAGCCTCTGACGATAGGCAGACGCCGGGGAAGATCACGTGCGTTCGCTTGTTATGGGGTTAGTCCGGTGACTCATAACCCCTTTTGCCTCGTAACTCCTTGAAATGAAGCAAAGCCGAGGTTACGGCCTCAATGTGGACATGTGCAGTTCAAGTGCAATCGTTTTTCTCAGCTGGACGTTTAAAAGCCTGGTGACTTATCATATAATAAAAAATAATAATAATAAATTGTGCTGTTTATCCTTTTCTGTGGTTACTCACAGGGGCGTCTAGTAGCAGCAGAGCCTTAAAGTGTGACCTTGTGTCCTCAGTACTTTGGCAAGAGTAAATCTAATCCATTTTCGCTGCTTTCTTCTTCACGCACCAACAAATCAAAGTTCCATTTAAAAATAAGTGCCGTTGAAGGTGACTCATGCGAACATGTTTTGACATGTGACACAGCTTTTAAAAAAAAATAAAAATCCAGTTTTACACCTTAATTGTGTTCCCAGGTCGGTATTTTACTCCCTCAGTGTCGTTGTCTTTAGTCGTGGAGAAGCCAGACACATTGTGCATGGGACCGTATTCATAGTGCATTTTGCACAAATCCAAGCTCAATATTTGTGTATCCCGAGAGCAGAGTGTCCACCCCCCCCCCCCCCTCCAAGTAAGACGTCTCCTCGTTGAATGTGGTGTTGTATCCCTTCTCCCAGTCTGTGTTCTGGCCCCAGACTCCTCGGGGATCGGACTGGGACTTTGACTAGCTCCATATGGAATGCAGGAAAAACTCCCAGTAAATGCTGGCTCAGGCACACAGTGAAATAATTTGTGGTTTGTTTTTTCTTACAGACTATAAGCAGAAGTACGGGGAAGAGCACGGCTCGTGCCAAGCCGGGATAGCGGGAGTTTTCACGGAGGTCAGTAACGGTTCTCGTTCATCCTTTTTAATCCAGTCGAAACGCTCTTTCTTTCCGTCGCTGGTTGCCATGCCAACTCTGTCGTCGGTACAGTCACGGCCCGTCATCACTGAATTCAAAGTTTGGTAAGCTGAGCTCACCTTCCAATGCAATAACAGGAACAGTTTGGGGTTTTTGGTGCCAATAGAAGCGATTAGTCGTCTTTCACTGTAATTTTCTCAGTTAACTGTATGATTCCCGTTAACATTACCACCAATTTCCAAAAGAACTTCCCCTCACTCGTTGTTGACTTTGACTGTCAGCTGACTATCTACTAGGTTCGAGTAGATCGTTATCAGAGACATTATATATGCGACCGAGGGGAAACTTTCACTTGGAGTGGAACATTTCTTTTAGTCGGATGTACATCGTCGGAGTATTTGTGTCAAAGCAGCTGACCTGCTGCTGATATCTGTTGGCTTATGTTTCCTTAGGAAGATACGGCGACCTCACTTGACCTGGTGTGGTTTCCCATGCTAAGACGTTTAAGAAGTTTCCTCCGTCCCAGAGCATAGATGCATGGGAGCGTTGTATCAGCCTATGACATCATCCTTTGTTGAAGAGTACATTTCTAACTTTATTTTAACATTCATTATAACGTTTATAGATTTTTTTCTGCAAGCCATGTAAAAATGGGAAGCTGTCAAATACATGTATATTTAACATGGAAATGGATTTGGGCAAAAACTATATATTGACATTAAAAAGAATGCAAACATTAAAACTTTAATTTGACCAATTATAACTTTTCGTTGGCGATACGCTGGCAGTCTTTCCTGATGCGTTACATGCAGTGGGCTGTAAGTGACTTAAAATGTGCCTTTGGAGCACAGCCGTGCCTTCAGGGTGAAACCATTTAACTGGTGAGAAAGTCTCATTCAAATCTAATTTTAGGTTTTATTTTTTATATTTGCTTAATAACATTCTTTCAGCTTTCTAGATGCAAAACTCGAGCAACTCTACACCAAAACAAGACACTGGAACATTCGCCCTCAGCTGTGGGAAACAAACTAATTTAGTAAACCAAAAGGTTTTTCCTGTCATGTTTAATAAAATAGGATAATTTCACATTATCTCACATTAACTTTTCTTTGACTTTTGTGTTTGAAAAGCCTTTAAAAAGATTGTTCACGGCTGTTAACAGCCCTTAAAGCTGTTTATGACATCATGTTTTGGGAATTTGTGTCATGATTTTATTGAGTAAACTCGCATAAAAAAACACTATATACGCTGGAAAGAGCAGGTGAGGAGCGTAAAGGGTTTTCTTTGTAAACATCACATGAAAGCTTTAAATACCACTATAAAGAAACTTGTGGCTCATTATCTGGAAACATTAGATTCTACAATAAAGCTACTGCTTTAAAAACACGAAAACCCCTTTTTTTTAGACATCATTGTTGACCTGTTAAAGCATTTGAACAACAACACTTTAAAGAATGTGAGGAATTTTTTCATGTGAGGAAGACGTCCATCTGTTGAACCTTATCCTCTTCTGGACAATGGTGCCCAGATGTTTGGGACCACGGCACAGCGGATGTTCACTGCTGAGTGTTGGTAAGCAACCGCACACGACCTCTTAGACACACGGATCTCACGGTGAGCTGCAGCGACGCTTTAAGACAATGTGAAACACAACGTGTTAATTGTCGCGCTCCGGTCCCCTTTTTAATACCTGTGGGGTATCAAAGCAACTCAATTTACAGCTGTCATCGGAAGGAGCCCCTTCAGCCGGCAGGCCGTCTGGCCGTGTGGTTGAGAGCAGATAACGCAAACCAGTCTGTGGCCACTGGTTAAACCAGACGTCTGAACCCAGCGGCACTTTCCCCTCTCTTCCTTCAGCAGGCCACAGATCAAGCAGCAGAGTCAAAGTAATATGCGTGAATGTGATCTTTTCATCTTCAGGAGCTGGTGGTGATGGGGGCGCCGGGGTCGTACTACTGGACCGGGACGATCAAGGTGTACAACCTGACTTCTGACTCGTTCTACAGCCCCAACAAAGAAGACGTCGACTCCCACAGATACAGTTACCTTGGTGAGAGGTTGTTGTTGTTCGGGAGGATCGTGGCGAATGTTAAAGTATCCGTAAGAATTTACTGCAACCTCGTAATCGTTTCCAGGCTACGCCGTGACTGCCGGACACTTCTCTTCTCCTAACGTAATCGACATCGCTGCAGGGGCGCCTCAGCACAGCGGCAGTGGAAAAGTAGAGTCTTCTTCTCCGTCCTATTTCCAGCTGTTGAGTTGAGGTCATCTCGCGCTGCTTTGCTTCACTGATTTGCTTTTCTCCCGCACAGGTTTACGTTTTCAAAATCGACGGCGTATCTTTGGTGAAGAGCTTTCAAGCCTCAGGAACAATGGTATGAGCCTGGATGAGTCCTTTGTTAAAATCATTAAATTACCTTATTATTATAAGACTCCATTCAACCATATTGGATTTAACCTCGTCTGCCTCACGGATCGGTTTGCTCCTCCACTTCCCTGATTGCTTTGTTGTGAAACGTATGTCAATGGCATGAACTGAAGAAGGCGTCTCTGTGATCTGACCCATTGCTCTGTGGCTCGGCTTGGTTCCAGATGGGCTCTTACTTTGGCTCCTCATTGTGTGCAGTTGATCTGAACCAGGACGGCTTGTCGGACCTACTGGTGGGGGCACCCATGCACAGCCAGCTCCGGGATGAGGGCCAGGTGTCTGTGTACCTCAGCAAGGGCAATGTGAGTGGGATCCGTGGTTCAGGAGGAACCATAACATGCCCATTTATTCCCATCCAGCGTGTCCGCTTTCGCTGAATATTTCTATACTGTTATTATTGTCCATAGTGGATTTTTGGATGAAATTAGGAAAAAAGACCTTGAGCATTTTGAGACTTTTGCTTGTACATTTTGTATATGTGGTTCTGAGTTATTTCAAGGACGTTGAGTGTTTGGTTTGATAAATTGTTTTGGACAAAAAGCTGCAATAATTTCACCGCGGCAGTACAGTAATGTGACATTTCTGCCAGCTTAGTATATAAACTGTTCTCTCGCCTGCTTTTGTTCTCAGGGGGTGATGGAGGAAGGAGGTGTTTTGAGTGGTGATAATGCTTTCAATGCACACTTCGGAGAATGCATTGCGGCAATTGGAGACATTGATGATGACGGATATCAAGGTCAGCACAGCAGACACTGCACACACTTAATAAAAACGTTTTTTTATAAAACATTGTCCAGCTGTAAAGAGTAATTCAATAACACACCTGTAACAAGTTTAACTGAAGTGCATCTGAAACCTGTGACAAGAGGTTGCAAGTAGGCGATGGTTTCTGTTAAAGGCTCAAAAGCCCAAAAAGATTGGAAACCACCAAAATGATAAGACCACACGGGATGTTTAACGTGTTTTAGTCCATGGAACTCAAATCATTAGTGTTGTAGTTTTCCACTGTGTCACAAATTGCTTCTCAGCCATTGTGAGTTATCCAGTTTACCATCATGTCAAACATGTTACATACATAATATCCATATTTTGCCATGCAAGCAAAACAAGGGTTCATATCAAAGCCTCAGATGCCAAAAACATCTATAAATGCAACAAAAAAGAAAGTAAAAGTTAAAAATGAATGAATTACTGGACAGTTTGTTGCCCAGATTGTTGTCTTCTAATGTAAGTAGTACATAAATATGAAGTCCAAGCAATGACCAACACTTGTCAATAGCCCTCATTGCTGTTAGTGTGACTTTTGCTTCAGTCGTGAAACAAAACTCTCGCCTGCTGAGTGATTCACAGTTGATGTCGTCGGCTGTTGGAGTCCCAGTAGGTGCAACAAAAAAAACGTCAGTTTAACAGACGTTTTGTTTTCATTACCCTGCGGCGAGGAGCTCTTTAGAGAGCATTGCCCTCTCTCACCCCTGTGAAGCGTGTGTCATCCAGATGCAGACCAAATCCTGCACACACAAATGTACATTTGCACTCTCCGTTTTCCTGGCACTCGCATGGCTTTGGCTTTTGAGGGCTCGACTTGGCGTCTATCACACGCTCAAGGCCGGGAGCTTCTGCCTGTATTCATCTGTGTGCAATGCACGCTTCGAGGCGGGCCGCCTGGCACAGAGTGTGTATCTGTGTGTGTGTGTGTGTGTGTGTGTGTGTGTGTGTGTGTGTGTGTGTGTGTGCGCGCGCAGAGAAAGATTGCAGCTGGGAATCATAACTCATCCTGTAACTCAACACTGTCGAGTTACAGGATGACCAAATAGCCAGACTCCATCGCTGACTGACAGTCTTTTTATTTACTAAATTGCTAATATTTCATTTGAAAGAGCTTGAAAACAAAATACACATTTTGTTCCACAAATAAAAAGAAAACGTCATTATGCCTCCTACATAATGAGTCAATTATCATGTAATCTAAAGAAAAGAATGCCACTCATTTACCATTCCCGCTTTGCTATGCTGCACCACGTGGCCTGGAAGTGTTTTGGTTTATAAAAAGAAAGTTTATATGTGGAGTTTCTTTTCAAATGGAATGTGGAGACATTGTTTCAGTGCTCTTGCCAGCACTTTATAGCCTTGTTTCCACTCTCTCAGAGGTTGCGCTGGTCTTTATTGCCAATAACGACACTTAATTGTCTGTTAAGACTGTCAGTGAAACGGCTTGTTTCTCAGGCTTAATGAAAGCTTTTGTACACACAGTTCTGTACTCTCAACACAGCTCAGTCATTTCCACGCCGTCTTTAACGGAAACTCTTTCGCCCTGTATTCAGATGTCGCCATAGGAGCCCCTAAAGAGGATGACTACGGAGGAGCCGTCTATATCTACCACGGGGACGCCACAGGGATCATCAGCAAATACTCCATGGTAAGAAGTGTCACGTAACACGCCAATAACGCTTTAAGCAAGAGAATGATAGAGTTCTCCTGTAGTAGTAGTTCCACTGGTTTAACCTGCAAATGTTCCGTTTTTTTTGTTTGAGACCCCACGTTGCTCTGAATGAGGAGCGGGCCCCTCTTAGTGGGACTTAACAAATGAGCAGCGTTTATCTTGTTTGCATGAAACGGTGTTAAATGGAGTAGTTGCAGTCTGACGACGAGCTGAGAAAAAGCAAATCACGTTGTTTCCATGTTGGCAAACAGAAACTGTCTGGGCGCAGTGTGAACCCTGGTCTGCAGATGTTTGGCCAGTCAATCTCCGGCAGTGTGGACATGGATGGCAACGGATACGCAGGTAAAGAGCGGCTTAACCACATCAGAAAGACCAAAACATCCAATGGGGAAGGAGGAGATTATGAAATTAGTTTTTTTTGCCCTGTTTTTTTGCCTCCCTCTCGCCAGTCTGCGCGGTGCTCTGCTGATTCTGCAAAGCACTGCGCAGACCCGTGATCGAGGCATCTTGTTTACTGCATTCCACGGCTGACATCCAGACGGTTAAAAGACTTCTGTGCATTGTTTGAGTACTGCAGGTGTGATCTGTGCTGTCAGCAGATTGCTGCGTTAACATCACGGCTTTCCCAAATCAAACCACGTTTGTGTTTTTGTTGCAGATGTCACTATTGGAGCGTTCATGTCGGATAGCGTGGTCCTGCTGAGGTGAGTAGCAGACCGGCGACTCCGCGCCGTCACTTCTGCTGCCGCGCGGCGTTATAACGCCACACTGTGTTCTGGTCTCGGTCGATGTGGTTGCAGAACCCGGCCTGTCATTACGGTGGACGTCTCCATCTTCCTGCCCGTCTCCATCAACATCTCGGTGCCGCAGTGCCACGAGGGCCAGCACAACCTAAACTGCTTCAACGTAACCGTCTGCATGCGCTTCAGGGGAAGGCAGCTGCCGGGACAGATAGGTGAGTAGCAAATCCAGACAAGAGAAACCCCTGCTAGTTCAAATGAAGCTGGTTCCCCTCACGAGTTCAAAGTCCACACTGAAAGGGACTCTGAGTAAACTCGGTAGATACTAACACATGATTCATAGTTTAGTTTTTGCTCCTAATAATACCTCTAAAACTAATAATTCTATCTTATTTGTTCAATCTGTACATTCAGTAATGTCGTCATGTGTCTCTCACTGCTTTTGCTGGTCATCAGTGTAGATTCTAGTCATTCAGTGTTGTGAGGAGGGGAAATTCATACTCCTTGAACGTATGGCGATCATTTAAATGGGGAGGATTTGTGAACATGCTGCAGGTGAGTAACGCCGTCCCCGTGCTGGGAGGCGGCCGGTTTGGTTAACCTGGTGGACGCTGTACACCTCGTCCTGGGATAACGGACTCTTTGGCGGCGTGCTTTTTTTTTGGGTGCTGGGGCGCAGTCCCGTTGCGGTGTTTGGGTGCGTTCACTCGCGAACCCCCAGGAGCCCCGTCGTTAAATAACGCCCGCGTCCGGGCGCGAAGCAACAAAGCTTCTCTGTCTCGGCTGTCTGGCAAACACCGTGGAAAGTGTAGCGCCGTGTGTTTGGTGACTCCCTTAATGAAGGCTTCCTTCGCCTCCCCTGAGTGAGGTCATGGCGCTGTTGGACGGGGGGGAAGCAGCAGGCTCTGGCCCTACGAAAGGGTGTGTTTGCCACCCTTCTGCCTGTTTTTCAACGGGGTGATTACTCCAGACTGAGGCTGATTCATTCAGAGGAGTGGATTCTGAAATGACCGATATACGGTCACCTCGGAAATGTTGGGTAGTGTTTGCTTGTTTGGGGTTAAGATTTCTCAAGTTGTTGCCTCGATTTCATTAAAACCAGGGGTGGAACCGGCAGGGAGGATACTTTTGGATGTTTTCCCACCACCAGCTGGAAAATGACGTTAATATTTTTTATTTGTAAAATATCTGAACACAATCCTCGTTTTAACTGTATGAATTCAGTTTTTGCTGACATAATAAATTGTTTTCATGTCTGGCCCTGGTTTCAAGGGTAAATGGAAATACTTTCATCCAGCTTTTTGTCAAATAGCGTCGTAAAGTCAGATGATTTGTCCAAGAAATCCCAACCGTATACCATCTTCCCTCTGACTAAAATGTTACTGCAATAAGCGCTGATGGATTTCCCTTCATGTTTTGTGTGCAGTTACTTTGACACGGTGAATCTCTTCACAGAGCTGCTGTACAACATAACGGCCGATGTGGATAAGCGACAGAAGAGCCAGCCGGCCCGCGTCTACTTCACTCAAAGCGGATCTCAGATCAACCAGATGAGCCAGCAGATCAGCCTGGACATCAACCGGGAGGAGTGCCGGCGCTACACTGCCTACGTTAAGGTGAGGTTTAGGTCGCCTGGCCGCGTTTGCGCCGGCTTGTCCGTCCGCGGGCTCATGACCTCGGGTGAACTCTCTGCTTTCACGTGACCTCGGGCACTCTCACCCTGCCGGGCTTGATGTGTGTCATAAGTTATCTGCTTATGTGGTCTGTTTTTCTTTCTTATCTGTATTTTTCTGACTTTTGGCTGGAGCATCGCGGCCTGTGTGTTTTTCCAGTTAACGTGTTCAGACGGATCAAAATCAAGAGGGGAAAAAAAAATATTAAAAAAAAGACACCACGAAGGTCCGTCCCATTATTGCACAGTGGTGCAGGAGCCACTCAGCTGCTGCCGCTGAAGGCCGCGGATCAGCATCCATCAGCTGGGGAGCTCTTTGTGTCACCCAGCTGGCTTCGGTTAAAGGCACCTCCTTAAAGGTCAGGCTATTGATGTGTCGTCAAACCGTGCCGCTCGAGTGTGCGTTTGAAGACCGGGACAGAGACGGGAAACAGGGTCTGCTTTGTCACGGCATAGTCCCTCCATTGTGCTCATGTGATGTAGCCTCAGAGAGGGTGTTTCACCTTCACCAACGCGGAGGCCCGTAAATTTCACTGGCATTCTTAGCTGCGCTCGCCGAGCGCTCTCACCGTGGGGGGGCTGAGCCGCCGACTGAGGGGGGCTGTCATTACCGCGCCTGCCTGCCTGCCTCCCTTCAACCCCTTCAGGCTGTAATGAGCGAACATTACACAGAGCTTTATTCAGCACAACATGCTCATCACGGTTATCAAGGTGTGTCATTCGATGTCTGCCGTAGGTTTGTTTAGGCTCCTCGGGAAAACCTGGATAGAAGAATACAACATTTCAAATGTAATTTCTACTTCTTTCCATCCCCGTTTCAACACGTTAAGCAGCATTGAAAGTCCGACATTTCACTTCTTCTTTGTGTGGGTGGGCAGATGAGTTATCGATCAGTCGAAACTGGTAACTTCCACATATGTGCAGCATCTCTATACACACAAATACTTGAAGTGCCATCAGGTCACATGTTACATCAGGGGCCTTTTAGCAGGATTGTTTTATTACCTTGCGATCATAGTCAGCCCAGCCCTTTGCCCTCTGTTTTTCTAGCGTTTATGCTAAGCTATGTTCACTGTCACACGGCTCCAGCTGGAGAAGATACAAATCGTCCAACTGAAGTGCACCTGGTTGGCACTCTTGCTGAGCGGATTTAAATTTTTTGTCTGCACATGTGGCCACGACGGCGACCTGCTCATTAGCAAAGAGAAGAGGCGATCCCAGAGTTACAACAAGCCGAGGAGCCACACAGGACGGTGAAGGTGTGGTGCCCAAATGGCCCCTTTGCCACATGTATGAAAGAGGGCAAAGATTGAGACCTTGCACGATAACTATCTGCCGTGGCTCTTCATCATCATAAAGTATGTGTTTTTACTGCAGAGCTGAGGAATCACCATCATCATTCTGCGATGAGTAAAGTCTACTTGCCCAATCGCATCGTTTATCCTCCTCGTGTGTCTGCCCTCACGAGCCAGTCCTCCCATTCCTCAGCAGAGCTATGCTAATGCAAACCAGCTGGTTGCCCCGACTGCATCCTCGGGGGGAGGGGAGGGATTGTGCGCCCCCCCCGTCCCCGTCCCACCCTTCCCTCAGCTAAAACACAGCAGGGTGCTGAGCTGCTGTTGTGTCAACAGGAGCTGCGCGCTGGCGCTGCTGATGGAAAACCCTCATGTCAGAGTTGATTGCTCAGCCCCCGATGCGTGAGGGCCGGCGGTGGGAGGGGGGGGTGAGCTATTCTGAGCCACCCTCACGTTTGTAACTGCGCTGACCACCTGCACGCCCCATTTGTTGGCTTTATGAATTGTATAAACACTTTTAAAGGACCTCAGCTAACGGCTTGAATTAATAAGGCGCTGTAAAGTTGGATTTGCTCTGATTACATACTTAAAGAAACAGGACAGACACATTTTCACCATCTGAAATCTAGTAAAAAAAAAAGCATGAATGCCGCTCAGTAAATCATGTAGTGCTGAGAACACAAGGGCATAGTTGGAGCTGTTCAAAGAGCACGAAAAAACAGGAGCTAATAATTCAGTCTCTTACTTTTTTTTTTTTTTTTTTTTTTTAAGTAATGAAATTAAATTATGCACGTCTTTTCTAGCTGATGATATTAACACGTTTTCATTGGCATTGGCTGACAGAGACCATCTGGAGGGCTGGTATGCTGTTTGGTTATTTTTAGCTAAATAAACTTCATGCAGGCTTTTCCTTCAGTTGTACCTCACATCCAGGGGGGATAAACAGTTCCTCAGAGTGATGACTGATGAACGATTAGGGCTCGGCTGACCAGAGGTGCCGTGTGCGTGAGATATGCAACGAGTCGTTTAACGAGAGCCACCGACTGTAAGCTGGAATTCTCCAGTTTGATGTCGTCATTTTGGTGTCTCAGGTATTAGAGAAATAGCTTCATATTTACTTACTTTTCAGTCTACAGCCTCGCTAGCGACAGTTTGCACTAAATACAACTAAATAGTTGCGGTTGCTTGGAATGTCATTAGTTTTGCAGGTATTTTGTCATAAACTAAACTAATAAAAGGCGAAAGGATCACCAAGCTGGTTCAAATTATCCTGATGGAGACGTGAATGCCTGCGCTATTCATCATTGCAGTCCCTCCAGCTGTAGAGATGCTGTCCTCTAACCTCATGGTGGAGCTTAGGGAAATGTTGAGGTACCGCCAAAGTCCTTATGATACATCAAGTGGAAAACATGAATCTCTGTAAATCCACCACAATTTATTCATATATTTCTGTCTGGACCCAAGTGCTGGACATCCGTCCACAGAGCCAGGCTGAACCAAACAAGCAAAAACAAGCTTTGAAAGTAGTTGAGATCTTGTCTGTACGCATGCTGATGTACTCGCTATATGTTGAGTTAAGGACCTCCGTGTCGGTAGATGTAAAATGCCACAGGTGTAATGTCAACATGACATCGTGACGTATGTCTCACTATAAACAATAAAACATTCATAGTGTCAAGTATATGAGGCTGAAGGCTGAGTGTTACAGCTCACCTGCCTTTGGTTTGTTGCTTGTCTTATAAACACATTGTAGTGTTTCAGTCCTGCACCGCTTCTGCAATCTATATATCTCATGGCACGTTTACGTCTCGTCATGGACATGTTTTTACTCCAGCCGTCCCATCACAGAGCAGTAGGCGTGAGCCTTGAAGTCATGCCAGGGGCCAATTCCATCTGTGGTCATGAGCGGCGTTGTGTAGCTCTGTAGAAGCATCACAGTCTCCGAGGAGGAGCTAAAATAGGATTTAAAAGCCGAGCCTGTAACAGTTGTCTGTTTAATTTAGCTTGTAAAGTACCCTGCTCACTTTCCCCCTCCACCTCCCTCCGGCCTATATCCCACTGAGCATGTGCCCTATATCTCATGTCCCCATTACATTTGCTTGGCACCAAAGGAGTATTTAAAGGTTCAACCAACATTATTCTGTTGTGCTGCAGCTCGTGGGGGAAACCGAGCATCTGCCCGTCAAAGCTAAATGCCCTGACGGCCCTCACAAGGCTCTTATATATGCATGTTGGAATTGAGCAATACAATGTTGAATATTATCAGATGGGTTCATGAGGTGATGGATGACGGTCTGTGGAGTTACAGAAAGTCTTGTCAGAATTATTGCAAATGCATTTGAAAAGAAGCTGATGTTTTTACCTTCTGTACCTGTGTGTTTGCGTCATGCAGCGCTCATTCATATCTCATTTGACTAAACTTGATGGACAAATCCATCATTGACATGCTATATTTTGTTATTTTGCCTAGTATGACAACGATTGTAAAAGGATTCATTGATTCATTGATGTGGTTAATCCGTGACAGTTCTGAACCATTTGCATGTTTTCTTTAATCTTCTTCAATAGTAAACATAATATCTTTGGGCTTTGGGCATGATGTGCATCTGCACTGCACATCATGCAGTGGAATCCACTGTTTCCTCCAAAGACCTCAAAACAAAAATGTGAAAAAATGATTCATGCTTGCTGTTTGACCTCAAGTCAGCTCCACAAACGGGACACCCTGCAGAGCAGAGCAAAGCGGGAGTTCCTGTCGCTGCATCCCGACGGATCCGTAGTAAGTCCTAGTCCCTCAACGCGGTCTGGCACGTGGAAGCCCGTCGCGGAGCCGTTGCCACACTGCCTGCTTTGTTTGCCCCTTTACAGTTCAACAGAAACGTGCAATTCCCCCGATGCCGATCCCCCGGTTTCATTTACCTCAGGCCAAGAGCGCTGATACAATGAAAGTATATAGCAGGCCGGTAATCACATCCAGATGTCTTCTATTACACATCGCAGCAAGTCTATTTATAAAGACTATAGTGGAAAAAAAAGGGGGGAAATATACGAGCTGTGCACTGTGATATTAAATCGAGTGGAAAATGTCATAGACACTGTCCGATGAACAAGTTCAGTTGAATGCTCGGTCTGCAAGTATTAGTGTTAATACCATGTAGTGGATACTGAAGAAGAGCTGTACTGGTTTATTTTGGTCAGGATTTCCCTACATGGTTGTGTCAGAGTGAGTATGAAACACTTCTTCTCCAGGCTTGTTTTGGGAGCGCACAGACTTTTTCTGCAATGAAACAAGTCAGATTTCTCATGAAGTTTCTTATGCATTTATATTAAAGATATGCAGGTTTTTTTTCTTTGCTATCACTGCTAATTAGATCCATCCTCTGTGTTGTTGCCATAGTAAATGCATTGTTGCTACTCGCATTAAGGTTGGGCATATTTGATGATTTGTTGATGTTGGCAGCAAAGCACGCTGGGCAGAATGTTCCTTCCGTCTTTTGGCCGTGTTACTGCCACACGATGCCACCGCAAGGCAAAGTAATGGGTGGCCAAGTCTGACCACAATGAAAGAGTTTTTCTAGCCATGATTCCCACTTCCACTGCAGAGGAAGCACGCGTGTGTGTGTGCGGATGTTCAGTGTGTGCGCGTTGG